GACACTCACCGTCGGGAAAGCGGGCGGCGGGATGGCGATGCACTTCCTCGATGGCCGCAGCGTGCACCTCCTCGACGACGACAGGCAAGGAGGCGATGGGCGCAGCAGGGTGGCGGACGGCAACGGCGAGGCGGGAAATCGAACTGGAGGAGGTGGGAAACACTGGGAAATGCCTCCAGGGAGGTTTCGAATTTCGAAACCCCAAGGCGGTCCGGGCTCGAGCGCAGGCCCAAAAATTTTTTGGCGGCACCAGCCGCATTTTTCAGTAGGGGCCTCGCACCTTTTTTGAGTCCCGCCCTTTTTTTTTTTTGGGGGTGTGGAGGGTATTTCATCGTCGGCCGTACACCCGTACGCCGCACGGGTCCGGTCCGGCGGTCCGGCAGACGTGCGGGAACGCGCCGACGACGTATGCTTGCAAGTATGGTTTTCGGCCAAAAAACTCGGTTTCAATTTCGTTCAAAAAAATAAAAAATGTCCTTTTTTGACGAAATGGTCGTTCTCAGGTATGTGTGTGCCCAATGGATGGGCGAATGTCCCTCGGGAGATTTGTTAGAATTAGAACGGTACAGAGAAGATTGCATGGCCCATGCACAAGGATGACACATATAAATCGAGAAGTGGTCTATTATTACTACTAATGACTTAATAAATAAACAAATACAAAACTAAATGCGTTGGCCAATCTAGTCATTTCATTTTAGAAGACTGACAAAAATGCATGGGCGAATCTAGTCATTTCATTTTGCAATATTGACTGCATTTATCTTGCTGCCGCTTTACTGACATTGCATTGAGAATAACTGATGGACCAATTAGTCCGATGGCCTGCATTATCGTTCATTACCTGGGTGAATGCAGTCACGTTTTCTAAGTAAGTTCATCAGTTCATCTGGCTTGCCTGCCATGGGGTCGTCGTTGGAGAATTCGAACCAAGCCCTCACTCTTGTGCCTCAACTGGCAAGCCTGATCTATCTCTGAGTCACTGAAAATCAAGAAAGGATCTGTTCTGCACTGGTTTCTACAGGGACCCCTCCACTCTCTTCTTGCTGGTTGTTCATCAGTATTGGTCGCTTGTAGCCATAAGTCCTGCTTTAATGCATGCGGACTAATTACAGTCTAGGTTCATGTTGAATCCACCAGGTTCATGATTCATGGGTGCAGGGTCCTGTGCCACGTGACAGAACAGAAAAACAAAAGGTGGTGACCCACGTGGTCACCCGTGCTGGTCACTGAGGGTAATAATGATACCTGTCGTTACGTTTCCCAATTACCAGCCCAGAATGTATACAAGCTATCTTCCCAGTTCAATACAGTCACTAAACTTTCCCCGTCACTAGTGTAGAGTGTTTCTTACCGTGGGCGTTTGGCGTCACCTGTTCCTACTAGTCAGTGGCTCATGTTGGCCAGGGATCATGACTGTATCTGACCGCAAAGATCACTTGCATACACTCGTGATTGATTTCATGAGACAGAATGCACGGCTCGTTCACTATGACTGCATCGACCGGAAAGGTCGCCTGTACACAGTCCTGATCGTAGTGGGGTGCGCTTTACTCGGGGGAGGGAAGATGGTAGTCAGACAGTAAGGTTTGCTTTGCCATAGACCTGCAGCCACACTCGTTCCTGAATCTGACTGTATCAGACTGGAAAGATAGCTTGTATACATTCACGAGGAGGGTGTGTTTTGTTCGTCCAAAGACCATAGTGTTCTGTGCCTCGTCATTTCCTGGCAGGTACATACAACAAGCTTTTTTTATTCTCTCCCCATAAGCTGAAACTCCTTTTCCGCCTTCCAAAACTGAAAAAGGAAACAGAGTCAAAACAGACTCCAATAATTTTCAAATTCAGCCCTTCGGGATTGCGTTAAAATCGGAGTGGTACAGAGAAAGAAGATAAGCATGGTCCCTGTGCAAGGATGACACACATAAATGGAGAAATGGCGGAGAAGGAGGGGGGGAAGAAAACCCAGCCCATGCTGCTGACAGGTATCCACAAGTGACTATCAGAAAGCAGACCTACCTTTGGATCCTCCCCCCATCAGATGAATGGAACAGCTCTGATTTCTTCTTTTTTTTTCAACAGCTCTGAATTCCTCGTGGCCAGTGTCTTGGACTTTTGGATGATGATTCATCAAGGCCACCACCCTTAATAAAAAAAAAAAAAAAAAAAAAAAACTTTAGGTCAACAGATACACACTGTCCTAGAGTTTTTCCACCCAAGCAATTTAAACAGGTCCCCACCACCACTCCGTATGTCGAAAGTATGCCTGCCTCCCCTACCCCTTGTATGTATAAAACCACAAGCTCCAGAAGAGGCGGGGGCTTGTACTGCTACTTTAAGTAGAACAGAACTCCTTTGAAAAATGGGCACATTGGGTTAAGCACCTGTCCCTGTTTCCGCAAATCAAGTGCACGAGAGTCACGAGACTGTAGTTTATAGTAACTTTGTACATAAGCTGATCACCAGTAAGTCTTTGTAAAATTTTAAACCACCAGTATCTGGCCCAGCTATCGGCCGCAGGAAAAAATGGAGTAAACGTTTCTAGTCGGATGAATTTGGGCGCTCCTGTAGTAGCCTGTACGTTTCCTAAAATCGTGGCGCGTTAATGGGTACAACTCGAGGAAGTACTGGTGGTTTAAGTACTGGGCCACACTGTGGCTTGTGCTGAAGCCGATCATCAGCAAGGACAAGTCCACCTTTGGTTACTGAGCACCTTGTTTGCCTCCTGTGAAAAAAAAAATGCAGATCCAACTCACACCCATCATGGGGGAGTGTAGCGGAGAACCTGAGCTTCGCATCGTGCCAAAATTTGAGAGGAAGGACGATTATGTTTTGGTGGGTGCTTGTACGAGCGATCTTCTCATCAATCTGCATCCTGTGGAGCCGTGGGTCATATTCGCACCTAACTGGTTTGCGCTTCAAGTATGGAACTACGACGATGGAACACAGGTTGCTTTGTGGGAGCTCCCTGTCGCTCAGGGTGCCCTCGAAGCCCAATTCATCACACAGAACAACTGGATTGTGGTGAAGGAATTTAATAGCTTGGCTATATATGACAAACAAGGTTCAAAATTGCAGCGTATCAAGGCGCTGATGGGGAAAACTGATGAGAGCTATCCGCTCTCAATGGCTGTCCACCCAACCTTACCTTATCTAATGGCTGGTTTTGGCGATGACAACTTTTTCCTGTGGTACTGGGGCGAGGGATGGGAGAAGTCCGAGAAGGTAGTACTGAGAGGTCATTCTGGGTGTGTACGGCAAGTGGTGTTTCATCCAATAGAGTCGCACATCTTTGCAAGTGCTGGAGGTGAGGGCACTATCAAGGTATGGAACTTGGAGGACGCGTCTGTTATCCGAACTCTTGAGGGTGACGAGTCTGACGTCAGAAAAACTGCAAGTGAAATTGGATTTGGCAATGGACTCCATAAGTCACTCATGATCTCATTACACTGCAACAAGAGATGCGTGTACGTATGGGACTATGAGAGTGGAGCTTGCGTGGCAAAATGGGACGCCCACGAGGAGAAATGTGAGTCCGCCTTTTTCCATCCGCACTTGCCGTATATCTTCACCGCAGCGGAAGATGGAGAAGTGAAAGTCTGGAGTGACTCAAACTATCAGCAAGTCTCGTCCTACTTTTGTCCATGGGAAGGCGAGCTTCAGAGAATGCGGCCATGCGGAAAGTCTAACATGCTTGTGCTGGGAGGTGGTGGAGAGTTTCGCGCGGAAAAGGTAGTGACGAGAGGGGAGGAAAAGGATAATAAGAAAGAACCGGAGCAAAAGGAGTTTGAAATTCTCGCTGAAAGGCCAAGAATTGAGCCCAAAAATGAATTTGCTGACAGTGTAGCCAATTCTTTGAGCTTGAGAAGAAGATTGAGCACAGGGTGTCAAAGATGGAGATGAACTGTGAGAAAGTGATGAACGAACTGAGAGCAGAACATCAGGACAAGGAGAGAATTCAAGCTGAGAGGATTGAGAAGCTGGAGATGGAGCTCGAAAGAATTCAGGCCGCACAAAAGCTGTCTGACGCATCTAAAACGCATCAGATTCTAGCAAACAGGATTTGTGTGCTGGAATCTGAGAGGGACAAACTGACAGAGAAAGTTAACGAACTGGAGCAAAGATTCTTGAAAGAGATCATTGCTAATCAAAACAGGACGAAGATGTCTGTTGTCGGACTCCTCGCTGGTGGTGCTAGCACAACAGAGAGTTCTCATGAATGAACTGCAGGATACCACGGACAATTTTGACATGGGAAGTGGAGTTTGAGAGATGTGGATCAGCATGAAGATGTCTACATGTGGAAACTACCTGGCGGCCCGCATATCACAAAAAACTTTAAAACAGAAGATCAGGGGTATGCGCAGTATGCACACTATTGAGACTCAGTGCAACAAGTTCAAGCGTGATGTGGTAGATAACTAGATAGCTTGAGAAGTTGAGATTACTCCGGCACCCCCATCTGCGAACCCTGCTGGGAGTGTGACGAACTAGCTTCTGTAATGCGCGACTTTCGGCGCGAAGTGCTAAGCGGGGTCCCACATCGATTGGATGGGTTGATGGAAAATTGCATGTGTGT